ATTAATGGAGAGAGAGCGTGTGTATGTCTGTGGGACAATTGAAGATAGAAGAGAGGAATGAGTAAGGCTTCAGGCTTTATTTAATCAAACCTCTTCCAATGTATATATATACATATATATATATATATATCACCAGACCTTCGCTCATCAGGGAGGTGAAAAGATTGCCAAAGAGACAGTTAGTTAGATCAATTGACACACTGATGGATAGATAAATTGTCTCTCCATTTAGGGCCATTTGCTGACTTCATCGTTGCTAAGCAAGCATCTGCCAAAGGTTGACATCAAAATTGCTGGACTCGATCTCTCCCATTTAAACATTCATTTCTCCTCTTTTTCACAATGGACAGTACTCCTCAATTTCCTCACTGGAATCATCGAAATGATGCCTCTTCCGCTCTCTTTCTCCTCCTTTTCCTGCTATCGCTATTGTTTGCTTCCTTTGCGGTCAGAGGTCGACTGGCCGAGCGGAATGAGTGAGTATGCTTGGAATAGAATGAAATGACAGGACAGCGACCCACTTTAGGAACTCAGTGAGAAATGAAATGGACAATGAGGATGGTCAGACATGCGGCGACACAATCATCGGGTAAGAAGAGAAAATGGTGAGAGGGATGGAGTCCGATCTTGTAATGGCAATGAGAGTATGTATTATTTGGATGGGTTCGGTTTCCGTGCGCAATTACCCTCTCTCTCCTCTCCGCCTTTTGTCGTCCCTGAGGTCTTCCAACGGATAGATATGTGGCTCTCATCGTAATGGTTGTTACGTTGATGCATTGCAGGGCTTCCATTCATGTCTATTTTACTTTAAGCCGAAATTTGTTGGCATTGGTTACATGCATTTATGCAGCAGTGTGATTGCGAAAGGAGCTAGAGAGAGAAGTTACCTTCTTCAACCTTTGATTCAAATAGATCCATACCATTCCATTCGAGAATAAGAGGGGTAACCATTTGGTATAACATCCTACAGTATGATAGGATCTGATTGAATATTTTCGCTCTTCATCATCTGGCCCTAAAATGAATCATCCGTTTAATCTATCAGACTGTATCCGATATTAGGTTAATTTAAAGCTTCAAAGAGCATGTCACGGTGATGAGCAATACCGTGACATGCTCTTTGAAGCTTTAAATTGCTCATCTTTTGTTTGTGAAACCTTCAAAAGATGTGCTTACAACTTATTTTTTTACTTAAAATGATTTTTAAGTAAAAAAAGTTCTAGCTAATTGCCCAGATGAGTTTTATCTGATATTTATCTTTTCGTCTCTCTTCAATTTTTCCATTTTAAAATATTTCATTATCATTTTGTTACCTATTGATTGTCTCAATTATCTGAACAGAATAACTAAATAGTTATTTATCCCCGGGAACAATCAAGACATTTCTCGGTCCTCTTCATCACGACATAAATGATTAGAAGGAAGGAAGTTTACCAAAAGATATCTTTATCATAGTATTGTATGCAAATTACTCGAAAATGACACATTCATTATCAACCTCACTATTTCATCATTTATCTCTATACTCCTTCAATTCCTTTCTTATTCATTCCTTTTCATTTCCTCCTTCTATTACAGTACTATCATTGCGAAATCACTGATGAATCATCATCATTTATATCACTATTAGTTCTCATATTTCTCCTCTTACACTTTCATCTCTATCCAATTTATATTATTCATATACTTTGAAAGTAATTAACTACCTAAAACTATTCAAGAAGTGATAGAATTGTTGATATTAAGTGTTATCAATCATTATTCTATAAACTCATATTTCTATCATTTGATTTAATTGTTAGAACTGGCAATGCTATCATAAAATGCTGTTAATGATATGATATGATCAGTAAATACTAGAGCATCTTTACTATTGTTTCATAATAGAAAAGAAAGTTGCACCTAATTTACATGTCCGGTGTGTTGTAGCCCAATTATTCATTTTGCGCTTTCTATCTTCCCATTCTTCAACTGTAAATGATGGAAGAATAATGCTATCAAATCACTCCTAATCCATTAACATATTCAAGTATTGCTTTTCACTTCGGAAGTTTGCAATTGCCGCCAATGATGAATCATTGCAATGTCGTCCATTTGTAGTGTGGTATACGTTTATAATTGATCAATGATCAATTATTGGAAGGAGCTATCGCTTCGTTGCTATCGTTTTAGGATGAGACACCTTGACACACCTACTCCTGTCTTTTTCCATTTCCGATAGAGAAGCGAATTAGTCTTCCTACTGATAATGATAATGAGTCAGTTAGTTTGTTTATCATATTGGCTAATTACTCTTCTAATTTATTGCTTATTTAAGGCTTAATTCATTCTTATGTTATTTGTTTAGGTTCAATTTATTTAAATTTTATTGTTATTTGTCATTTGAAAATAGAGTAATCTTGGTATTGCTTCGAAATAGCAACCAAAATATTTCATATTATTTTCTTAAAAATTTTTGCATGACATTCCGGAATATCTGAACACTCATTAAGCCTCCTAACAGATGATATCGTGATTGCCATGTTCACCTTTTCTTATATTTTCTGTAATCACTTCCGATTTTTATTTTCTGTTTATCCATTGTTCAACTTTTGATGGGAATTTTTGCTGTTTTATAACAATGAAAATTTGTCACAGCAAGTGTTTACACACTTAACATCAAATTAGAATAATTCTATCTAATGGCATAGTATTTGAACTTACGGAAGAAAGTTATGCTGAACTATAAGATATTTTTGGTTCTAACAAGAATTTTGCTATTTTGATAAAAAATGCGATTCCGTTATGGATGCTTAAAATTCTTGATTTGTTTTTAAATGGTTGTGAAGGCTTTCCAAATAATCTGATACTTTGACTTATTCTTATAAGTTACTGAAAGAGGAAATTGTTATCTACTGAATCCTTCTCGGAAGAGCAAAAAAAGGATGGAATAGGATCTGATTGGTATAATGGGTTCAGGAAGCATAATGTTTTATGTACATTATAAGTGGATAACTTCATTATATAATATCATTGTTCTCTTAGAAATGAATGCGTGATTGTAGGAAAACAGATTAAGCGCATAGCTTTTTTATTAACAATTTCATTTCCATAATTTGAAGAGTATGTTTTGGGATGATGGAGAAGGTGGATGTTACATTAGAGGATGGCAATTCTTTGTCTTTCATGAATGATTAGCACTTAACTAATGAATGAATGCATTGAACATGAAGAAGTGTAATCTTTACTGGACCTTGTTACATTCAACATATCGTTTCGTGTTCCTAATTCATAGATCGATTTAATAATGAATTAAATTGAATTTAATTTTCCTTCCACTTTCGTTTTTTTTTCTTTTTCTTGGAAGGGAAGAAAAGATGTAATATGACTGGTGGCACTTCAAGAATGTTGCTTTACATTATTGTAGAATATTATGTAAACATATCTTTACCCTATTGACGGACTAGATGAGTTGGAGAGCATGTAGTCTTTGATTATACTAGGTAAACTTATTAGTAAGGATTTCGTCGAGGTATCTTAGTTTATATAATGGTAGTAATAGTAGTAGTACTAGTGCAATGAGTCTTCACATCATTTAACAACTGTTATCACAGTATTCATTTTCTCAATCTGTGTCTCGTTTATTGTGTTGGTAAGCTGCAATCAATAATTAAGTTATCTACGTATATTTGCGCCGTTATTGTTAACCGTCGAGAAATCCACTCTTCGATATTTCTTAACTTTTCAATTACAACATTCGATGGAAATGAATAGTTTAGTTTAAGGATGAATTAAGATATGAAGCATTAGCGGTAATAATCGTTCAAGTTAAGTAAGGAAGTTGATGATTAAATAATTCATTATTATTAAATGATATTTCTTATAAAGCTTTTCCTACTATTCGTATTACTAATGTCACCTGAAGAGTTGAGATTACAGATTAATTATATTAATGTTTGGCATAATTGAATTTGCTTAACATTGTTGATTATTTGGACTCTTTCATGCTCATCGAATTCTTTTTCCTTTTTTATCTCTTTCCTCTCAAAACTATCCTTAACATTATCATATTAATAATTTTTACATAGATAAGCATAAATGAATAAGTAACGTTTAATGCTTTCAATTGCAGCAAATGAAATATAAATCTTTCTTAGGTAGGATAAGGTTGCATATCATTTCATCAATTTTCTCTTCAAAATTTTTATCATCCCATCGAATTCATAATTCTTTTCTAATTACAGAGGATTTTCATTTCACTCTCTCCTCTCTGATATTTCTTTTTCAAATAGAATTTTCACATATCTTTGAAATAAACGAAGAGATATACTCATGTCATTTCCTCTTCATTCATTCACTTCATACTTTTATAAACTCTTAATATTGGAAACGGAATATGCTGTAATTGAAATTAGAATATATCAGGATTATCGATTATCGATACTTTTATCATTCCCTCAATCACTTGCTAAAAATAACATTTATATCCAATAATAATAATAATAATAATATATTGATCCATTTTTCTTACCATTCTTTTTCTGCTGTAACGTAATTCCATTCATTTATTTCACTTTCAATCATTTATACATATTTGTAAGTTACAAAAAATCCTTCACTTTATCAAAATTTTTTCTATTTTTGAACTTATCATCTAAACGAACAATTAAACTTTCATTTATCTTTATCATTCCTCTGATTGATTATACATTATTTTGCACTTATGATAGCATGTGCGCACCGATCATATGAGAGCTTCTCGTTTTCTTTCCATTCCACTCTGACCAATTTCGCGATATTATTGTTTTGCATTTATTTTTTTCTTCGTTAACTATATATAAATTTTTGCAGGAAAAAATTACATTTTGAGGTTTTCAAATTCTGTATTGCAAACATTAACCATCTTGCTTTCTGCACTTTCGGATACATTTATTTAATATCGAACGTCAAAGTACTGTAGTTGCAGTGGTGTAAGGCCTGATTAGGCATTGTTTGCTAATTATAACATTCCATCATCTGTAATGACTGAAACTGAAACGAAAGTTACCGCTGCCATTGACGAGGTGTTTTTTTTACTTCATTCTACTTCATTACACAGAATTTATCAATCTGTTAGTTTGGAAGACCAAAGTGTTCAAATATAGGCCGTTATAGTCTACCTATTCCTATAAGAATTTCTTCAGTGATAATTTAGATCATATTCATTGTCAACCATCGTTGAGTAAGTTTTGTTTTTTCCTTTCTGGTAAATTTAGTTCATATCCATCCGTTACGTTAAACGCCCCACCACACAATATTCCGCTCTATTCTTTTAGAAATTTTGAAAATGCTCCATTTTATGAATAAGTATCCTTTTTTTTTCGACTATCGTGTTTCGACGGAGAAGTTTGAAATGATTTTGCCAGTGTTGAAGATGATTATAGAGAAATATTGATAACATTCGTTTCTCTCAAAAACATTTCAGTTTATGGTGTTACAGTTGGCTTAAAGAACTCAGAATGAATTTAGGTAGAACCAAATATTGGACATTATTATGCTTCATGTCATCGATTTCATCTGCAGATAAAGCTTAACTATCCTACGAAATCACTCTTCCAGGCTGCAAAAACAAATTCACCAATGACAGAAAGCAAATTGGTAGCATCAGTAAATGCTGATGAAGATATACCTGCTGTTGATGCTGATGTGAGGGATTCGGATACTGTTGAACTAAAGGAGGTTGAAGCAAAGGGAAAAGCGCCGGAGTCGCGGAAGGATCCACGAGAAGATCCGATCGGTTGGATGAATTCACTAATTCCCGGTGCTGTCCACAAGGTATCAGCTACTTTTTATAGCAAAACAAGCTAGTGCTCTTTCATCTTTGAATGTTGACCATTAGGTGTAGCTCTATTTTGAGGTTTTTCATCCAATTACTTGAAATTTTAATATATCAAATTCTTCTTAATAATTTTACTCTATTAATTTAACATATCATGAAGTTCAATAGAGAATTTCAAATAAATAAAGTATTATTTGTTATGGCTGTTCGATTAGCTCCAAGCATAAGTGCTTAGCTAATGGAAATTTAATTTAGTCAAGTCTCATAAGGTTTATATCTAGTATGTTTCACTTACGATCGTGCGTCACTTACGATTAGCAATACCGTGAAGGACACAGCATTGCAAATTCAAATAATTTTATTAGTTGAAAAGAGTAGGTGATTTGCAGGTAAATTATCGATTGCTGGACTGGGTTCAGCAATTGGCAATTGAAGAAGAAGACAAACGGCAAATGTTGCCTGGGAAAAGTGACGCTGTTACAAAGAATCAGTTTTTGTCGTTCCTTCGAGATGGTTCATTGTTGGCGAAATTAGCAAATCGTCTTCAACCGGGTACAATCAAAACGATTCATGAAGGAGAGGCAGCTAAAGATAAGACCAATCAGACATCTAACATCAATGCTTTCATAAATTTTGCTAAGGAAAAAGCATGTTTATCTGAGGAGCAGGTTGCTATTTTCATATCCTTCAAATATTTTCTTTAATAATTTATTGTAGTATTACTTCCAACTTTCACAGGTCAGAAATCGCCGAAGTAAAGCGTTTTTTTATTTGTTGTGATTCGGTATTTGGTTGTGATTAATTTACACTGAGTTTTCCATCGCATAATTTCGAAATAGTGTTATGTATTTTGGTCGGAGAACAATGGAGGGCTTTGTCCCTTTTGCAAGACTCCCTGTTTGTATCTTTCTTGCGGAAGAAAGAGAAAAAAGTGATTACACATAAGTTATGTGCATTCCATTCCATCAAACATGCAGTTAGTTCTTCGTTGTTTTTCCTTAGTTTTTGATGATGAAGAGCTCGACTGATAGCTGATAGTTACCAGTTAGTTGGTTGCTACGAATTCAAATTTTTTGTACTTTTTAATATTGTGATCTAAGAGGATTAGAATGGAATAATTTACGATCGATCCATCAAAAGCGCTAAGCTCGGTCTTTCTTTCGTCCGACAGATAAAAGCTGATAGTAGTATCATTCATTGTGTTGTAAAATAGCTTTCAAAGAACCGTGGAAATAGTAAATTGCGTACGAGAGCGCTTGGTTCAATTCAAAGATTCTTTTGTCTGTTCTGCGAAAAAAAGAAGCAGCAGCTGACGAGAACGTAAATTGCGGGATAAGAAGGTAGGAGCAAGGTAATTAAAGGATTTATTAACAGAAATACCATTCTTAGATCTTCCTGATATGTTATCGATTATTACACTAAAATGATGGTAATGAAAAAAAGGAAGGGAGGAAATCGGTAATGAAATATATTTTTTTATTGTCGTTGCAATTCTTTGCTTTCTTTAGTGAGATTGATGCACTACGATTAAAGTTTATTAGAACATATCTGAAGTTTCAGGAACATTATCTTAAATACTTTTGTGTTTTTAAATGAAGGTTAGATGGTTTAAAATGATTGTCAATGTAATTGTTGATTAAAATAAAATTAGAAGGATAGTTTGAAAGTGATACTTTGGGTAGGTATCTTCGAAAAGATTTGTTTAAATGTAAAGTTGTTTCAGTAATACAGTAATACATAAAATGACCAGTTGATTTTGATATCTCTTAATTAAGTAATGAAGAATGATGCTGCAAGTTAATGCCTTAATAATAGTAGTAGTAAGGAGTCAAAGGTTAAGAAGAGTAGTTGAAATAAAGGCAAGAAGATAATTAAAATGAACAATTATGAGAAATTATAATGCGAATGAATAAATGAAAAATGAATGAAAAAAATTTCAATGAAATTAGTGTATGTGTGCATGTGTATATGTTGTATCTATGTGTGTATGTATATATGTGTGCGGGTAAAAGGGAATTTGATAAATTAAAACTGCTATTCATTTGCTGGCTTGGTTTGATAAAATACTAATTCTAAACAAATATAATAGGAATAAAGTTAATTTGTGATGTGGAATTAATCGGCTACTTTTTTCTCCCTTACCTTCTACCCTTTCATCTTTCAGATTTCAGCATTGATAAGGATATTTGGCACAAATGAGTGGATAGATGAAAGTTGATAAGGGATTGATTTATTCATACTTAACTGATGAATTAATTCATTCATTCTTGTCGTTTCTTCCAAATGGTTCATTCAATATGCCAGCAGCAATTATCTCTCTTTTTAAGATTCATTTGATTAAGAAATAAATCTTACTGTCAATTGAGTGCAATGCTATCAGTGTTTTTTCTGATAACTATTTATTTTCTCTTCAATAGAATTTATGTTTATGTATGCGCAAAATAGTGGAGAATGATTGGTTGTTGGCTACTATGGCCAGACTGGTCTGTTATCCATGTTTATTAGGTCTCAGTATATTAGTAGACTATAGATATCGATTTTTTTATTCTAGACTTTTTTTTGGCCAAAAGAATCTACTACTACTGCGTACTACCAAATTGCTGTGACTGGTACGAATTCTAAATATAAACAATTATTTGACTATTGCAAGGCTAAAATAGATTGAATTTCTTCTGCTCATCTAGCTTCTATAGACCAAAAAGATAGAATTGAGAATTGCATAAGTGTTAAGATTTTAATTTTACAATGCAGCAATCATTAAGAATAAAAGAGCTATCTTCTAGGGAGAATTTTAATTTTAAATTTCAAAATTAAAAAACAAAGACATTCAATATGATTATGTTGTTGGTCTGATGGTGCTCAAGTTCCACAAATGAAATATGTTTTTTTTTTTTTAAAGAACAGTTCGCAAAATAATTTCGAGTAAGACAGCGAAACCGGGCTAATTAATATATTGGTTTTTTTGTATTGAAATTTGAAATTATTGCTTTTTACTTGTTTACTAAAAAATTCGTTTGCAGATATTTACCGCTGCAGATCTGCAAGAGAAAGGAAAGGCAGGATATCAAGCAGTGTTTAATACACTTATGCAGCTTGCTCTGAAGGCACAGAGCGTTTTTGAGCAAAAGGTTATTTTCTTTAAAAATCTCGTTTTTTGTGGAGCTGATCCGTGAATTAATGGTGGCTTTTTTACTGGAATTTAATTAAAATTTAATCAACAAATAATTTGATTGATTTCAGGGAATTGATGCTGAACAACTGATTCAAACAGCTTCACAAGTTGTACCAACGAATCTTATTCAGACAATTTTAAATTTCTTCAGACGAGCACAGCCAGCTCAAGTTTGTCCTATTAATTTTTGATACATTAAATTGGTCATTACTGGAGTAAAAAATTGTTGAAAATGTTGCTCATGAATGTATGATGAGAGATAAGTACAGAATGTGACATAATTGCTACCACTGAGGTGATCCCCAAAGATCTGTCATTTTTTTTTTTCCTGGGAATGAAAGAAATGTGTTCTTTCAGACACCGAAAACACTTGCAAAAGAAACCGAAGAAAAAGATAAGACAACTACTGTTGAAAAGGTTTTTCTATTTTCTACATATTTTCTATTGAAATGTGAGTGGTGATGCATTGAAATATAATTACCAGATAGGATTAGATCATTCACTTCACAGAGTTTATATTCTGAAATATCACATATTGTTGTTTATAGGTTGTTGAAGAAAAACAGGCGGAAGAAGAAGTATGCAAAAAAGTCATTCAAACGGGAAACGTCGATACGCCTGCTGTTGCTGTTCACTGATTTCTAATTTTAATTCATTTGCAAGAAAAAAATTTCTATCTCGAAAATAATTCAACTTCCTGCCAACATGGCTTCATTTTAGTTTCGTTGTAAGTTCACAATTAAATTAAGCATTGTTGTTTTTTTAATTTTTTATATAAAGACAAGAAGAGATAGAAAAAATTATAGTAGATAAGTTTTATTTTGAGAATTTTCATTTTAAGATTTGTTCTGCCATTTGATATTATTATCTATTACTCACCATTCGTCACAATATTACTTCAAAATATGAATCTGTTTTGAATTTTGAGTTCGTGAGACTTATTTTTCTCGACTAAGTAGTACCATAGTTAGTCAAATGAAATGTTTACTTATGCTTACCATTCATTGTCGTAAGAAGGTGATTTACAAATACTACAAGTGAGAAAGAATGGTAAAAGGAGAACGGCAATTTATAAATTCCTGCAAGTGTAACTATTTTAAATTGGTGCACACTTCTTGAAGCCTGTTGAAAAAATTATGAATACTGCTCTAGTGTTTCATAGTTTCTTAGCTTTGATTCTATATTACTGAAATAATAGATATTTAAGCTCCAAACGAAGAAGTTCTACGTGGTATATTTGAGAATTTCATTGTCTCTAATTTATACTGCTTTTTCAGGTAATGTCGCAAAAATTATCCATTATATCATCCGAACTGAACCAGCCAACACAATAATTCTATTTATCCTCGATATATGTGTGTGCGTCGCAATTCAGCTTGGATTTACTTGAAAATAATTTTTCTTCTATTGTTATGGAATCGGGATATGAAAAGGAATTGATATATTTCTTGTCGACAAATAAAAATTTGAGCATGTAGATGATTTCTCTTTTTCTGATATAAATTCAAATTCCTTTACACCTTTCCCGATTCACACAATGCTTTATTACATTTTTAAATTATGCGGTCACTAAAGTAATAATGACTGACAAACTGAAATCATTTTTTTGTGTTTAGGAAGTAATTCTGGAAAAAAAGCACATCAAAATTCAATTTGATAGTCGATGGTATTCCATTTTTTACTGTGCTTTTTTGCTCTTCATTCTGTTCTAATATGTTTATGAAATGATTTTTTTCTTTTTTTACAACTGCTTTAATTATGAGCTTGAAAAGATTCTTGCATCCATCTAATTAATTTTTAATGAGGATAAATAAGAAAGCGAAAAAATGCTAACTTTATCATCTGCCATCAAATATACGCTTAGCTGGATGATAATGCTCCCTCATTTTCTTCATTTCAGTTTTACTTTTGATTCCCATAAACTCAATAAACAAATTATTGTATACGTATCTGCGGTGTGCTTACTTCTTTCATGTCATCTCAAGTTCTATGATCCAACCAAATAGTGGAAAAGCTTTTTTTTGAAGAAATAATGATTATGTAATCCATAAATGATAATGTACTCCGCAGGTGCGACTTATGACTAATTTGATCGATGGATTGATCGACGTGTAATGTCCCTAAAAATTTAATTGGATTGCATGCAGGATCTCTATTATTGTTTGTTTAGGGTCAGTTTGGAAAGCTTTATCACTCCGTTATAATAGTTGCCGATGGAAATTGTACTTTCTTCCAATCTCTAAGATGAATCCTGCAATGGATATTTTGGTCAAGTTAAGATAGTCAAGAGTTACTGATTGATTCAACTGATCCGAAATTACTTTCCTTTTGTTTTTTCTCAAATTATTCAGTTTTCGGGCAGCTTGTCCATTATATTGTAGTGAATTTCATTGAATAATTAACAGCATATGTCACATGACCGTGTTTCAGTGGCATATATCCATTTGTATGGTCTTTTCGTTTTGCTTCTTTAAAGCTCGCTGATTTTGTTCCCTCGTACGAGACATTCATCTTCGTACCTTTTTCAACCAATGTTAACCGTTTCCTTCATATTAATAAACAACACCGATCACAGTTAAATTCAAACAAACATCGATCATAATTAAATTCACTATTCATTTTTGACGTGGTATGGTGATGTGAGGTTCACGTGCGAATCAAGTAATTATGCGAACAATTGAATAAGTAAAACATTAATGGAACAGATAAGCATTCGTAATTGTTGCTATGTCTATTACGATGAGCGTAGCTAAGATGTTCTAAGCTATTCATATATATCATGTTACTGTCTCGCGGGAATGATGTGACAATGAATGTATGAGCTAACAACGTCAAAAGCTGGTGAAACATTATTGGTAATTTCACTTTGAACGGAAGCTTTTTTTGAAATTAGTAGTGGATAGGAAGGATAGTAAGGCATATGTGCGAAATGGTAATAAGAATTCTGGACGGGTTACATTGGAGACGATTGAACTAGCGACGGCATTTCTGAAAGATGTCCAGATACCCAATAGGCAATCCTAAATATTGCGAATGCTTCCGATATGTTAAAACCTTACAAATAATTGTCATCAGTTTGTAGTAAAAAAAGATGAGCGAGACAATTTTCATTATGAATTGGTCGGAATGGTGAGGGATAGTGCCGCAGTGAGAAGTTGCGGAGGAGAAGGTTGCTTAGTATTAGTGATCTTCGTGTTTTTGTTGATTGTAGTGATGATATTGATTTTTAGTGAAGGTCTGGTTAGGCTGACAATTGTTGGTAATATGGTAAAAGAGTCTGTGAAGGATTTCATGGTACTCCAGATATGTCGAAATCGTTAAGTATCGAAAAGTTTGGATTCATTTAGTTGTTAACGCAATGGAAAATGGGAAAAAGCGTTCAGATTGCTAAAATTGGTCGAAAAGGTTTCAACGGTCGCGCAGGTGGGCGCTTGGATATGATGTGTGTTTCTTTCTATTAGCAGAATTTAACGCAGTGCGTTGTTGTTCATTTTTGTGAAAACATTTTAAAAACAAAGAGCCACTTTATTAACTTCTGAAATGAAACAAGTGCATTACACAAGCCATAACTTCTCTTTGGATTTACTATGGAAGACCTGTAAAATGTCTGATTTATAGCAGGGGAAAAAATAAATTGTATCATTGAGGACCTGGAATATTTGGACAAAATTGGCGGGTTAGAGCTAGTCATTATATATGTACATATGCAATATTTACAGCCCTGGCTAATTTGGTTACCGAATTCTTGGAAATTATTTCCCATACTGTGCTTTTCAATTATAGTGGTTATCCAGCTGAAATGTTTGATACTGTCAGCTACGGAGATATTTTAATTCATGTAAGTGCGAATTTAGAACGATCTCTTTTCCATCCATTCGCAGGTCAATTTGTCCTAGTATTCACAACTTCGAATATGGCTTTTACAATTATAAATTGATCAGTTTCTTAAAAAATTTTCTGCCGTTTCGAAATGACTGACTCTCTGAGCAATCATTGATTAAATCGGTCCTGTTTACTCTCGCTTTGAATTTCAGAAATGCAAAGCGAAAGAAGTGCTTGATTATGTGAGCAGTGCATTACAAACAATTCATCGATGGATAAAGTTCGATGAACTATCCCATTTTGCGGCGTGCATTCTTGATAAGGACGACAGAGTGGTAATGGAGGTCATGATAATCATTATGGGTGTGCAGTATTCTTATTTCAGGTCGATATAACTTTTTTGCTTTATTCATTCCAGAATATGAAAATGTGTTACTGTTTTTTCAAATTGTAATTTATTTTTTATTTCTGAAGTGAAGAGCCAGTGATGACCATCTAACCATGTTTGATCTGGACTAGTAACTATTTCAGGGACGTATTGAAAAATGAAGCAGTTGATATGAAACGACAGTTCCAACAAACAATTTTTGCACTGCAGCGTGGTTCATATATCGAGAATATGAAAAATATCTTTCGATATGAAGGTGAGAATGGTTATATGAATGCTGATAATGAGAATAATTCTTGGATAAATTGGAAAATAAAAACGAGAATGGGTATTTTTTAGCTTATATACTTGTTTCAGAAGTACGCTTTGAAATTCATACAAAACTTAAAGGCAATTGCGAAGTAAAACTGAAAAGACGAGCTGGAGTAAGTTTTCTTTGTCAAAAATGAAAACATTTATGGTACGACTTTGTCTTCCATTTCTGATTCAGGAGTCTAAGTGGGAAAAGTATGACCAGTGTGCACCTGAGAATCTACGTCCTTGCGGCAGACGAATTGACAACAAACTAGTTGAGGTTTTATATTTTCAAATATTAATTAAATTACGAAGACAATCAGGTCATTCATAGTCCTCCCGGTCATGATGCGATTCTATGAGGCTATTATGCACATGCACATATCTATAAAGCGTCTCACGATGGCAATTGTCGGTACAGTTTACGTTATCAGTAGCTTGAGCGCTGTGAAAAAAAAATTGTTAGCTTCCAGCTCTCGATCTTGAAATTGGATAATAAATTTGACTGACTAAAAACGTTGCTTTTTTGTTTGTTTACAGATCGTTGCGATGGTACGCCAACTGAATGAAGCGTGATGTATGCTGAAGGGTCGGAAAAGGGTAACACAGCTCAGGATTTAACACTTCGAACCTCGTAAAAACCATTTCGAGCCCCGTAAAAAAAAACATTCAAACAGAGCACATTTCATGCGCAATATTGTGGCCATTCTTGCGCGACTGTCCGTTTCAGAAACGAAATTTTCGTGATGTTGGATTCACTCTAAGAACGTCACGATGAGTGGGAAAGATGCTCAGTTGAATGATCCGTGACGGCATCACAACCCTCCACTATTTTCGCTGATAAAAGGCTGATATTTCAAATGTAATGCAAGAAGTAGCTTTATCTCGATAAAAATTACAAAAGAGTTTGTATGTTATTTTAACCTTAAACATATAAAATACAAATTTCATTAATGGAAAAACAATAAATAAAACTTTTTAAAGAATGCAGTACTTACTATAGATAAAAATTATAAAACTTGTAGATTATTGACTTTAAATATCTCAGATGCAAACTTTATTAAAATTAATGAAGTAGTGAAGTTAGAATTCGATGCTTGATAAAAATCAGTTTGTGAATTGTTGCAAGTTAACTTCTCAAACTTTAAACACACCAAAAAAACTTGCTAGTGGAAAAACAATGACGAAGACTCCATAAAATCGAAGACATAAAAATCATATGAGAAATGAAAAAGCTTCTAATTACTAAAAGGAATGAATTCAAAATAATACATACAAGGAAGCAGCGAGGCAAGAAAGAATTAAACATAAAAGCAAAAGAGAAGGGGCAAGGGAAAACAGTAAGATTTTGATGTTGTGACGTACGGTTCTTTATAACCAATTTCCAATGGGGACCATGAAATTCTTGCGACTGTGCGTCGTCAGTAGGAACCTTACTAATTAGTAAAACGATTGGATAAAAACAACATCCTTATATATCAAACAATAACATTACTTCTCCACAAATTACCTTACCGCATGTAGATACTTTCTGGTTTTCACTAATAAAGAACACAAATAATCCAAACACATAGCGATATTCCTTCAAACATCCGAGAAAATTTCCATATTAATGATGCCCTTGTTATTCTCTGTATAATACCGCCCCCTCCCCCCCGCTTCTAATATGAAAAAATATCATCTAACGGTGTCCTTCATCTCCTGAAGTTTTCCAAGTAGCCAAAACACCTTCCAAAGACTGCATTGGAACTACCCGGATGTTGACATCTTCGCTTATTAATAATACATCAGCAATTTATCAAACTACAAACACACTGTTACTTGGAAGAAACAAAACTAGAAACCCGACATAAATGTTAGTGTTTCCTGCTCTTTAAGTCGGAAATTCCACGCATGTTCAGCATCGAAAATTCACATTTTACACATCAAAGGAAATAATTGACAGGGACTAATACTATATACCGATTTTTTGGCCCTTGTGGACACACAAATGAAATAATTTTATCATATATTTTTGTTTCTAGAAGAGACTGTAAATGGTACTGTGGCTTGCGAATTTCTGATGCTGTTACATGGTGAACGAAATACTTCATAGGAATTGTTCCGACAAAAAATACTTAAAAAATATGAATGCGACAGATACAGGCGAAACTATACAAAAAAGCGATAGCTTATTTTGATTCGAAAATAATTACAACACTCATGTTTTCCTTAAGAGAACAAAAATGAAACTCCAACTATAAGGAAAAAAATTTTTTAAATGGTAATTCTCAACGAATTGGATAGAAAAAAAGGAAGGAACGGAGTAAATGAGCTATACTATCAAAAACAAAACTATTAATTTAAAAGATCAAAAAAAAAACCCAAATTTTAATTTAAAGCATCTGAAACACTAAACTGATGCAATGAGCTTCTAATTAAATTTATATTCCATCATGATCCTTCGCCACGAATTTCATAGTGACGGCGAAACCTACTCTTTAAATATCTGAATGAAAGAGACAATATTACCAATAACCAAATAACTTTCAATCCCATTCCACTTTCCCCAGTGCATATATATATATATATATATATATATGCTGGATGTTTACTGGGTGTATTCTGAGATCATCAAAATGCAATGCAAACAAGAGATCAGAGCTCGTGAGACGCAAGCGCTGTTTTTATCAACTATACAAGGGATCTAACTATTGATTTGTCATTTGAGATTGGCCTTCCAAATCTTCAATTGGAAATAAGGTGACCAGTAAATCTGCTAAATCTGTTTGCAATGTTTTGAAGATTGATATATATATATATATATAAAACATGCCTAGCTTCCAAAAAGCGGAAAAGAGTGAAGCATAAAAGAAGACACAATGTTCATTCAATATTTAGCATTGTCAGATATAAATCTAGCAAAGAAATTCAATAGAAATAAATGAAAATAAATTTGCGGTAGAAAAAGCGGAGTGAGCTTCCAATAAATAGCATTCCATCGCAACACTTCTCCATCAACTGCATAGTTTAATGAAAAAGGACAGGATGACTAATTTCGAAAGTATTTCTTGGAAGTATACACACTGATTTTTTAATCATAAAAGTACAATAGGAACCTCACTAAAAAATTTGTATAGAAATCTTCGGCATAGTTACAATTCAGACCTATAACAACGAACTATAGATCATTATGCAGAATCATTCAAATAAAGTATTCTTACTTATTTCGCGTACTTAATTCGCATATATATATATATTGCTATTCATTTTATTAACTATACCAATGATATCAATTTTCTGAATATTTTTCCAGCAATAAGGGATTCAAACAAAGAGACATGCCCTCAGCCAGTTTTCTCTCACACATTAACAGCACATGCAAAGGGTTGAAAGAGAAGACACGAACAAATTTCGATAGCAGAAGTAGTTCGGCGAGATCATCTGAAAAGTTATACATGACATGATGCACTCTGCAGATGCAGTGAGGAGATAAATGGACTACATACTCTGTCACAAGAATTTTGAAATGAACTCAAATGAGTGTTTCGAATCTGACAGATCACTAAAAATCGGACAAGGCGAGAAAAGGGATACAGCATTGCAGAAATACTATAAACAGCAGCAAAACAAATGGAACATGGAAACAGCGAAAAAAGCCAGAAATAAGCAACTCCCTTCACACGGAAACACTTTGGTATTAAAAGGAAAACCAGAAGCGTCAAATCAAACTGCCCGGCAAATAAACTCAATTACCATTATGATTTAAAAATCAATACGGAACATTCTTGTTTCACAGACTCATTACAATGAAATTATCGAATTTGTGCAATTTGAAATGATCAATTGAAGAAATCGAACAATTAAAAACTGTTTCTGGCAATAAACAATTAAACATCACCGCAATACAAAGAATATAAATATGATTATTAGCGCTGATACCCGAAGAGCACAACCTTCGCATACGCTACAAACAAAACAAATACAGCAGCGCACAATTTTACTAAGTTTCTTCATGGCATATTTTACCAAGTCTTTTCTTCATAGCTCTCTCTAACCCCTCTGACATGGCTTTTCATCTTAATGAGCGCGAACATCTGGAACGAAAGATGTGCACTGCTGTAACATGTAACCAAGTTAAATGCAAAACGGAATTGAAAGACAGGAGAATATTTCTGTATTATTAGATAGATTTTTACGGTACAATAAGCATAAAATCTTTAAAAGTTATTTTGAAGCCATCCTGAAAAAAAATGATCTACAGTTCATAGCACAATCCACAGAAATTCGCGACGTAAATTGGTCAAGGCAAACAAACAGCAATACCAGCCCAAAAGTTTAAATAACTCTCCATAATGTAAATCACGCCGAACATTACAACTTCTGAATTTACAAAAACAATATAAGAGGAAATCCAATTACTTTAAAAAAGCAATGGTATGTGCAACAAATAAGTTTGAAGTGCGTAAATACATATACATTATGACACTAATTATTAAATTTTTAAATACATACAGATCAAGAAAGATCAGAAATTGTACAATTTCTTATTATCTTCTAATCTCCTTTACAGTTAGTGATGGACACCAAATATTTTATCTGGAACTATTGGAGAGTTTCAAGGTTTAAAAAAATTGGAAGTAAGCAAACAAAAACAAATGACACTAAAACCTTTTTTAAATACAATAAGGTTTTTAGTGTGAATGTATTTGTAACATGCTAACCTTAACGTATATCATAATTGATGTATGCTTATACTATATACAAGAAAAGTGAAACAAAAAAGGCAGTAAAAATAAAGAGAAATAGAATTACTTAAGAAATGTTAAATAAATTTTAAAAGTTGTATTAATAGAAAAATAGATGTGTCAATCAAAAGAAAATAAAACAGAAATCAAGAATAATTTAATAAGGAGTGCAGACAATGTAATCCTATTTAAATACTTCAAAAAACTGTAAGACATATCAATTACATTGCATTAGCCTATGATGGTAAAATGCTACGAAAGAAACGAAGAAAAGTTCACGAAAGCTTCACATAGGGAATCTCGAAAAACATGAAATAGGAGATGGTTGTAGTTTGAAACTTATAACAAATTACCAACCCTACAACAATACAAGAATATTATAATTCATTTTCTGCTATGCTTATTTCCACACAAGCAGTAACCTGAACCTCTGCAAAGAATGTACAAGTGGTACAAAATTTAAAATATTAAAAAATTGAAAAACTTCACAGAAATTCTATGAAAAAAAATGCTGTGTACGAAACATGCCTGAATTACCCGCATTAAATCCAATAGGAAACTTTCGGTCATTCTCATTCAGCGAGTTATGAACTCGGTAATACAGCAACACAATGCAATGGCATCATTTTCAAGCTGGGACTGCATTTATAACATTTTGGTGTCTCATGAAACTCTCCATGCCGTGCCATCCCCATTTTTACGACTTCTGTAATCGATGACATAAATTGTTCATCACCTGAAATTGTCTGATTGTTTGAAATTAAAAAACTTTTTAAATTGCTTACAACCTACTTAGAAATGAGTCCTATGACTGATTACCTATAATGTCTTGCAAGGCGGAAGAGAGTTACACTTCTCAATTACTGCAAAATCTATTCTGGATTTGCATTACTGCGGGTTCATACAATCTATTGTGCTCCATACATGAAGACCTAGAAGGATATGACTTCTACATCTCACACACAACAACTCTCACTAAAATTCTTACCAGAACAAGATGACGATGATGACGCTTCTTCACACCATATAAAGGGTGGTAACGGCACAACTTTTGCCTGAGGTGATTCACTGAATTTCGCGCCCGCAAAGTTGACAATATCTGCTGTCGTCGTCGTTGCTTGCTGCTGCCGTCGTATATGTCGTGCTAACCCTAAAAATTCCTTCTGTATCAAGTACTAGGTCCATAAAACGTTTCATGGTAAGCCTATCAAATAAAATGAAAATTTTATTTTCTCGAAAAAGCTTCCCCAAGCTTTCTCTGACACATTTTTTCCTGCTGTTAAAAGATCTGCAAATACCGAAAAAAACAGCCTACATTGTTTTGTCTTACATACTTCGCATCCTACAATGGCTGTAAACTTTCCTTATTTTCAACACTAAAAGATGCAAAGAAAGATACTTAGAAGAAGGAAATTCCTCCCTCTCAAAGAAAAAACAAGCATAACCAATTTTTAGCGAAAATTCCTGCTGAAAAATCATGAAGAAAGTAGTAAGTACCAATCTAAGAAAACCATGTATCAAATAAAAAATAGAACAAAAATCACTTCTCTCTGTTTTTCTCTTTGGCGTTACATCAAGAGAAAATAGTCGCTTCTGAGAGGCACTTTTACATGATGACGTATCTTTTGAAGGTAGTTGCGATTGGAACATATTACTGGCTGCTGGAGCACTCGAAGAGAAGCACGGAGTTGCTGCTATAGAAGTGGGTACACAAACTTCTGTTGATATAGCGGATGTTACATGTTTAGAATTTCTCGCTACTGATGTATCCATGGCTGGTAAAGAAGCAAATGGTTCGGATTTCAGCCAGTGTTTTGAACTACGATTCTTCTGCTCTGAATTATTGCTTTGTGTATATAAAAGATCCTTATGTGTTATCTGAAAATAGCAGTATGAAAAAATTACCTCTAAAAATTCAAATTTATAGCAGACATCAATTGGAAACCCTTGATATAATATGAACTATATCTTCAGTCAATCGAATGAAATAACTCTTTCAGGGTAAGAGGTCTATACTTAGGTTTCTCTTCCTTAAACAATCCATTTAAAAAAGAATATAACGCAAAAAATAAACCTGATAACTGATGCTACGTATGATTTCAGTAACAACTGGTGTTGTTGGGGCACTTGAAGAACCGTTTGGAAAAAGCAAAGTAAGCGGAACTGATGACATTACAGGCGTGATTCCTGATTGCATTGGATACCTCGTTCCTGAAGATATTGGATGCATGACTTCCGACGGCACTGGATGCATTATTCTCGATAATATTGGGTGCGTGACTCCCGACGACACTGGATGCATGATTCTTTTTGTCGGTATAACTGAAGTGTGCTTGAATATACGAAATTATTTAACTCAATATAAGGATTTCAATACGATATTTATCAAATTTCACTATCATAATAACGATAATATTACAATAAGATATCAAAAACTCAAGATTGGAGAGAGAAACGAATAAATAAGCTTTTTAACATATTTTTGCATCGAAAAGTACTTACATGTCAGAACGCATAGGCGTTATTCAATACAAATCAAAATATATGAAACGAGAGGTAGAACGAGGTGAGCTGAAATAAAGCTACGGCATTACGGCAATGAACGATACTGCGCTATTATTTGACTTTTTCGATTCAGCCTTCTACCCAACGATGAGCATCTCGACAACTGACTCTCATATCTGCTACGCTTCATCATAAAATGACAGATTAACTACATGAGCCTAGTTCTTTTTACATATATGAATTATACGACGCATAGGGAGATATAAAGTTGAACAACTTCATATGTGAATGAAAATTCCTAGAAAATATGTCCTAGTAATCTGAAACATCAGTCTTCATGATAACATATATAAGAAAAAATCCACACAAGCGCTTTCTGTCACTCAATTCCTATATGAGAAAACACTGAAACTGGAAAGAAACCTCTCCACTACTTTTCCATCAAATATCCTAAGCATTTCAGTGCTGTTACAAGATAATACGGATCAATTAAGTAATAACTCAAAGGACAATCTAACCTTACTATACTCTATGCTTCTCAAAAACCACATGATTCTCTTCTGAAGTTCATTCTTCACAATAAATTAATATAATATTAACCATCAAGCAGATGCACTACTTGTTGCCATAAGTGCCAGTCCCGGTCATGGACTTGACACAATATACCTATCACAACTGAAACCAATCGAATTGCTCATCGTATTCCTAATGCGCAAAACTTATTAAAGTATATTACGAATGCATAATGTGATGAGTGAGTTGATAAAGGATGTGAAACAGTAAGAATGACCACTGACATCAAATCCATTGCTGTAAATCTATAGCGAGATCCACTCATTCACTATCGTCAATTATCAGTAACAACGAAACATAACGAAACATAAAATTGGCACTTCGAAGTATATTGACAATCGTATATGTACTGTCGCGCTGCATCAAACATCCTGCACGCTCTAACCATCACCAAGTGTGCATGACGTTTGAATTTAAGTCAAAGCAGAAAGTCTCCAAAATATATAAAGAAAAAAGCACTGAATTAATCATCAGGACTAAAACTTTTATAATTATTTTTGTCCATCTAATTCAGTGACCTCACATATTCATATTAAATTAGAAGAGAAAAGAGGAAGAAAGGAAATTTAAGGCATCCGGTACCTAGATGGTAAGTTTGTGCATTGACTTTGTTAGAATCATTCGTACTTAGCTTCCGAAAATAATATCGGAAAAGAACCAAAGACAATTTGCAGGAAAACTATAATCAGATAGTAGTATCTCACAAGAAAAAGTCTAGAAAATGCATATGCTTAATTAAATCTAGCACTGATTTCAGACTAAACTACAGAAATTATTAATGCTTGCTTGAGGTTACAGTATACCTCTCTTACAATATAACAACTATTCACACGAACGATATGACAAGGATCTTCGGGCAACGCAGTCATATTTGATAATGACTGCCGAAAGAAATTAATTGCCCTTGTGCGATCTGTGTAATCAAATGGGCTTTCCATTTTATATCACAATCGGTAATGAACCCATATCATTGTAATAAGGAGCTGAACTCTGCGACCTTAAGAATTGAAGAGTAATATGCGCATTCACATAGAAATTCGATGAACGTAAACAAAATATAGAACTTATTGTGGTAGGGATATATGTCAACATGGACAGCATCTAATTTCACCCTAATCTGTAATAGTGTAAGTGTAAGCAGTCATTCACTATGGTCAAACTGTCTATAACGAATGACCGCTTACACTTACCCTGTTAGAGTTATTGAAATCACATGGAAGGATGATACTACATACGACGATCTACATAAACTACTAGCATTATTTGTAAAGTACCACAAGTGATCTATCTCACTTAGTGGAGCATTTTCTGATGATGTGGCATAACAACACTGCTCCATACAGCGCACAATGGCTGCCAATAGCGACCAGTTAGCGCCAGCAATGAATGTATCGATTAAAGGTGATGATATAACCTATAATATAATAGAGTCAGACGTCATACAAGCAAAAGAAGAATAGGGAGTACGCAAAACTCGATGGGATAGGAAAAAACAGCGCAACAAGGTATCAGTCACAGAGAAGAATGGATTCGAAACTGGCTGGCTGACAATCAATAGTGGTGATCTTCGTGTGTTGTATGTATGTATGTATATATGTGTGTATGTATGTATGTATGCATGTATATATGTATGTATATATGTATGTATGTATGTATGTATGTATGTATGTATGTATGTATGTATGTATGTATGTATGTATGTATGTATGTATGTATGTGTGTATGCATGCATTATGTATGTATGTGGGGAGAAAGAATGCAGCAGGATAACACGATTAATTAACTACGCCGATATGCTGTCATCTGACTGATGCCATGTTGTACCAATTTGATGTCTGACAAAGGTGGAAACTGTGAAGCTTTGAAACTGAAGAGGAAGACCGTAATCAATATTTATTTAGTAGCTAGTGACGTAATCTGGATTAGCTTCAATTTCGCGTTACGTGGTTTTTCATTCGAACGAGTAGTTTTAGAAGCAATTTTCAGCTGGTAACCGTGTTCACAACATATTTACGAGAATGAGCAGTCTTTGGAAGTGGTTCACTGGGAAAAGGAATGAGTGCTCAGTTACTTATTCTCGATTTGGCGTACCTGGTGAGCATTACGTGTAATCTTCTCATCATTTAGTACAGCATTGCATTTAAGGTAGTGTTTCTTCACTATCGATAGATATGATTTACGTGTATTTATGTAATCACTAAATCGTTTTTGAACTATCGTCATATTCTTCAGTTATTTAAAAAAGTTATTTAAAGTTATATAAAGAAAAAGTTAAAAAAAAGTTATATAAAGCACAACTTTTCATGTTTGTTATTTGTTGCTTCTATAATTCTCTATTTAATTATAGCTTCAGGTGATGTTTTAGACGACCGTCCGCGACCATCAACTATTTGTATCGCACAATTCGATGATAACGATCCGAAGTTTATATTCTTTAAACTTTGTCATGCTCAAAAAGCTGCCATGGTGAGCTTTTCATGTTCAGCGAAATAGATAATTGGATGAGTACATGAAAGTTTTTCTATAGATGACAGTAAATCAGTTGAATTTGAATATATGTGTTTCAGACTGTCGCTGGATTTGGTATGTCATCTATTATTCTCATTTTCATATCTGCATTCTTTGAATTTGATTGGTACAATCACAAGACAGGATTCGATATTATGGCATTAGGTATCTCGTTTGTTGTTAAATTGTCTTTTCTTTTTTCCAGAGGACGCTCATAGGAATTCTAAAAAAAAATATCCAATTGTATTCGAAGTGCAATTCCACCAGTATTGCTACTAGAAGTTGATACTTAGAGAATTTCAATAATTATTTATGTTTCAAATGCTGCGTTTTTTTTGCTGCATGACGTATTCAGTTTCAAAATCTTCGTTTTAATATCCATTTAACTTATATAATTATACGATTCTTTCAGTCTTTCTTTTCATATATCTTGGGATCGGCATACTTGTTCACTATCAAGTAATTGTTGGTATCAGGAAACAGGCTTCTAATTATCTTTTGCCATTTATTGTATCATATATTATAGTAATCAACACCGAAGCCTTATTTATTTTGTAAGTCTTTTTTAGACAATTCGATCTGTTACGTAAATGCTAGCTTATATATATATATATATATAATTATAAAAAAAAAAGTTTGATCCGCATAAAAAGTTTGATCAGATGAAGACACGGGTCGATTGAAAAACTTATTCCTAGTCAAACTGTTGAAAACTCATTTTCGGCTCTTCCTTCCGAGAATGAATTTTCAACAGCTTAACGTAGAATAAGCAATTACAATCTTTTTGTATCTCAGTCTTATCTGAGCCAATATTCGTATATTAGGTTTTTGCTTTCTGATGTTTTACGATGTAGGTCAGTCAGCATTTTCAGTCAAGAAATTTTTTCCATAATGGTGTAGTGTTTCAGTATTCACATGCTACATATACAGTCTCCGTCACTTGATTATTCTTTCAACGCAGAATCAAACGTTATTTATGTATTTTCGATCATTATACTGCTTATTATAATATTATTTCAAGGATTCATGTTAAAGGCTGTATGCCAATGTCGTTATTATCTTTCCTGTAAGGAAATACATTTAACTGCATTGAAAGTTGCAGAAAGCAGTGTAAGTTAATTATACAATCGTCGATTTGTTTGTAATACCAAAGTGATGCATTCATCTTTGCATTACTTTGTAGACAATACTAACACAGATCTAATGGTTGAACCAGTTCCTGGAGCTTATGTGTGGTTTCAGCGTACGAAATATCCTGGAATCCATGTTGTTTTCGCTTCGCCAGCATTTAATGGCAATCATCCTGTAAATATTCCCAACGGCAATAGAGTAGTTGACGGAGCCACAATCGAGCAAGGGATTAATTCGACGTGGTAGCGTGAATCCGGACACTATTATTGCTGGTAGTTGTCTATTAGTATGTGCTTTAATTAGAGACAAGATCAGATCTTTGAAGTTGTAGAACAGTTTTCTTTATTCTTACCGCGATTTAACGATCTTAATTTTCCATCATTCGTCTTCATTTATCTTCTTTTTTGATGTTGATTGCATTTTTTCATATTGAAGAACTGATAATCTAAAAATTCTGTATTGAACCACATGTGCTTAATATCTCATTTAAGATTCATTTTGAGGTCTGGTTTGAGAGACTAGCGGAATCTCAAGATCCGTTTTATTCCATTCCATCGTTCTCAGCAGTAAAAGTAATTGAATCTCAGTAATTATAAATTTGTTTTGGAAAAGTTTTCTATTTCGCAGTTCAGCTCCTATAATGGGTAATTTCCAACACTCTTTGGTGCTAACTTTTCAATTGCTATGCGCTTTCCTTTAACTTCTAGTTGTAAATGTCATTACGAAAGATAAGCTTTTCAAGTACGCGCTATCATTGCTATCTGCTTTATACAAGCTTCCTTTGAGACCTCTATTTTTGTTGTATGTTTTGATAAGTGTTGGCAGCTTTAGATGTGTTGAGTTCGAGTGCATTCAAACACTGTTTTGTAATTATAGGTTATTTTAAATCTTATTGCGAGTTCTGTAGTTCTACTGTTCAGGCTCATCAGTTTTACATGTTTTACATGACCACTGTATATTTTAAGTCTCTGCTGTTGTATAGTTGCCTTATTTTAGTACTTTATTTAAAAAAAGCTAGATTAAATTGGAAACTTCTAGTTCGGGATATTGCATTTGTTCATACCGCACAAATAGGTAGTTATAAATTTATTCGAAAGCAAAATGCAAAGTAGCACCTTCGGGAAGATAAGAAGGAGTATGATGTATTTAATGTTTCTGTTTAGAAACAGTTCTGCCTATTATCAAGGGTGCGATTATAAATTGTGACTGAAGTAATGAGCGTTAATTTCAAATCATTACTGACATGAGGCGTTGCTATCCTACCGAAAAATTACAATTTATCACGATTGCCTTTATCTTTGTTGAAATGCTAGTATTAATGATATTACCAGTACCAATTGTAATTTATCAAGTAGGATGACTGAGACAGAAGATGGAAATTCTTCAAAGTTAGCATTTGTCGAAGATTCCAGTTTATTAGGGGTCATGTACGTTCAATCCAAATTCTATATGGTAACATCAGAAGCTATAGAAACATTATGAATACTTTCATTCTCATACGATAAAAACTTATGTTGAAGATATTATGGCAGGGAGAAATAATTTACACGTTTTATGCGTAATGTTGCATTTGTACTAAAAAATTATATCATAAATGAAAAGACGTGATCATTATGATTACTGCTTAAGAACAATAACCTTCTGGTTGAGGAGTATGTGAAAAGCAACAGCAATGGCATTTATCACCATTCAGAACGCAGTTTACAGCGGGTATTCTGGTACCTAGTATCTGATAAAGCAATGGTTCCACATATTGATATGCGGGTCCTTTGCTTAATGTTATTAGCTCAGCTGCTACATAGCCTGATACATTACATCGATCCTCCGGTGGCATTACATTCAGATATCTTTCCTAAATTAATATAGCGTTTATCAATTCCCTCTTCACATATTTTATGCCTTTGCCACGAAGTTAAATGTCGACATCAAAAGTTTCGCTTATTGCTACCTGATTAAATTCCGGATTTAGTTTTCTTTTGAGAAAGGCATTTTTAGGGAGGGTGAGGGAACTAGAATTGCTAATGAATTCTCTAAAAAATATTTGCAAAGGTAAGCAGTTAGTTTCAAGTATCGTAACAAAATGAGAAACGCTGGATCATCGAAATCAGTGTGGATAAAAATAGTATAGTAAATAAAAAAAGACCGAGAGCTCTCGTAAGTCGCTGGCTGAAAGTGGATCGAACACACAAGCAGCATCTGATCCTGAGCATGCTTCTGATTCATAAGCTTGAGCGAGAAATGATTTTGATCTCCTGGAAATCGAACAATGTCAAGCTATGAAATTAATTTACGAGATCTCACTCACGGGATTTATTAAGATTGGTTGAAAAATGAATGATCGGAGGATTGTAGTAGATTTTGATGATTTCAATTAGGCCTAATCTTCTGTGGAATTTTGTATGAGAGAAGGCCAACTTGCAACATCTGATTCGTCGGCTGCATTTGCCACAGTTTTGAATGGTGATACGCTTATAGAGTGGATGTTCTAAATAGCTGTTCGAATTATTACGCAAAAAGTTGAGTCCATATTTGATTACTTTTCTAGGTGGAAGCTGTAAATAGAATTTTTTTAATTTTTTTCTCTCCAAATACTACCAAACAATTGAGTGTTTCACATAACTTTCACTTTCACTTGATAAATCTCATCGTGTTATGTGAGTGACAAAAGTTACACAGTGCTGAAATATCTTCATAAACTGGCTGGAGGGGAAGGGGTTGAAGTAAATAATCCAATAATTGACAATGCATGATTGAATTCCTGCAAAATTTTTGCTTGATCATACCCGCCATAAGCTGCCACTGCCAGAGGATATGCTACGGTGGATGATGCTCATCTATGCTATTAATATTTCTAAATCAACTAACTTTGCATCCAAAATTTTTAACACTTCTCAAAAAGCGAGTGATTGTATTGGATAGATCACCGTGCGGTATGATGCACTGAGACCACTCGGATAACTCATCTCGATGTTCTTCACAACTCATACCAAATAGCGCTTCATCGCTCACATCTAATGATTAAGACTTGATTTTATTGGAAATCCTTACCGTATTGATCATTCTGCTTTCATGAAAATGAATAATCAATTTTACATTCCAAATTTTCAACATTTCTCAAAAAGAAAATGATTACAAAAATTAAGTAGGAAATTTATGCTAAGAATGGAATGAAAAACTAGAACAGAGTACAGAAACTACTGACTTCATTATTTCCAAAATTCAATTTTCAAAATTAATAGTGCTGAAAGCATTTTATGAGAAGTTTCCTATTCCAAACTATTTTTACAGTTAGGAAGACAATTGAATATTCCCAAATATCTCCGTGTTTTTATTCAAATATTTTATGGAAGGGAATATTTGAGTTATCCTCACAGTAAGAAAAATTTTAATAAATACTTTTCCCAGAATATATGTTAGATTAGTTTCTTGAATGAAACGACCAATGTTATTTAGCAAAAAAAAAATCTGACAGTCAAAGTTCGGAAAAAATTCTAAACAGTATCCATAAGGTATATAAGGAATATAGTTAGTTGATCAGTGATGCATTAAACAAACAAATCATTCATTCTTCTACGCATCAATTTGGTACGATTGTAATTTTTAGTGATTTTGCATATTTCAATCATTTCATTTGATATGTTTACGTAATAAAATTACTCATTTGTTGTGAGAGAAAAAAAGAATTAAAAATTTTAACGAACCAAAAGTGTAAAAAAGAAGATAGAGAAGTTGAGCAGATAGAATCATTAGAATGGAAAAAATTTTCTTCCTTAATGTAAATAATTTGATTTTCAGTAAAGTTACAAACTAACAACAGCAATAATAGCTTTTAGAATAGCTGAATTTTAGGCTAAACATTAATCTTACTTCAGACTAGTTGTAGCAATTTGTCAACAATTCTCAGCTAAATGGTTCACAAACAGCTGCATGGGCGTATTTGAAATTTTACAAGTGCATTAAAAGCTTTCAATTTGTTACAGAAGTTTTTGATATGAATGAAGAAGTGTAACATATCAATGTATATATGATTACATCGTCTTATGTACATACACAGACAGACACATATATACATTCTGATCCCATATTTTAGAACTTACTGCCATATCTTTTATCAATCTAATATAAAAACTTCCGGGATATCTCAAGATAAGTTTCTTCTACGAGTTTTATTAGAAAATGACAAATATATTAACTTGATGAAATTGGTGTCTTTAATTTTATGGCAACACTGACCTCTTTCCTTTTGCTTTCACTTCAGTTCTCACTTTTGATAACTGTAAAGGTCAAAAGTGCATTAGTGCAACTGTAAACTATATATGAATATTTGTGCAAAAAAGAAGACAAAGTACTAAATTTTATTAGCAAATAAAATAATTACCATATGTTTATATTTATGCCAAAAGATGCACAATTGTTGACTTAACAAATAGATAAAGAGATTTCGTAACCGATAAATGAACTCTATTTATACAGTTTTTTTTCTCTTTTGAACTCAGCCAGGTTACAGTTGACCTCTGCCTTCAAGATATACAACTACTGTTTTTCTTATTGCAAATAGTTGCATTGGATGATTTAATGATATTAACATGACAAATGGTACTTTCACACAATCCTGGTAAATAAATAAATATGAAAACAACTAAATAACAAAATAATAAAGCAAACGCGAACGATGCCGTATGTTTTCAGTAATATTTCTATTACCTTTTCAGTCGGCGCATTTGAAATATTCACAGAGTATTCAACCTTACATTGAACCAGAATTGGAAGGGATGATCTGTTGAATAAGCAGAAGTTCCATAATTCAATGGAGTATAATTTATTGAGATAAACATATTGTTCAAAATAAGAGTTTCTGTATTCGAACAAATAGTTTGCTGAAACGACGAAATTTTATCAAAATGGTCGTTGTACTGTGATGTGAACTTTTGACCATTTGGAAAATGAAATAAAAGAGTTAAGAATAGTAACTACCGAAATATCACACGTAATAAATGTGGACGAGTTCTATTTAAAGCATATAATTTCACTTTGTTAAGGGATTTTAGCTGTCAGTGGCTACTGATTAGAATTCCGAAAAGATTTCTGATGTCTAAATCCATTTCGGAGCATTAGAGATGATTAGATATGTCGTAAAGGGAATACCGAAATTTGAATATTTTCTCATGGAAATTTTTCATTATTGTTGGTGAAATTTAACGCAGAAAGATAGTAGTGATAATGACTTATTGATTAACGGGGATTTATTATTCCATGAAGATAATTATCACAGAATATCGTGAGTTTGTCAACTAATTGATAGTACTGCTGGTAAAAATCAATTTGCTAACATTGGTACAAATTGTGATACTGTTCATAATAGTTATACTAATAACGATGATACTGATGATAAAACTATTCTGTGATTTTGCTTTTCCTAATATGGCTTAAACCGAATCGAAGGGTACTATTTAGAGTTCTTTTGAACATAAAGAATGCTGAGTGAACGAAAAGTCAGCTTAATATTTCACAATTATTTAATAAACGAAACGCATTATTATAATCCTTTGGAAATAAAGACAGTTAAGTGAATAAAAGGTCAGCTTAACATTTTGAGACAATTTAACTATTGACAAACAATCTTTACAGTATAGATTTTTACAATACAAAATACTTTAATTATTTTAACCGAAAATTATTTCGGAAATGTGAGAATGTAAGAAAATGCATCAAATGATAAACGCACAGGAAAAAATAAGCAAAACGTAAAATGTCCGGTTTATATATATGTCGAAGGTCACGCCATCAGAGATGACGTAACATTATATTACATTGGCAGATTATATCACTCTTAATCCATATTTCATCTCTATATTTCTCTAGAGATAGTCGTCACATGCAAATTGTTTGCTTGATTTATATATGGAACTCACGTATCACATACGTCCGTTAAGCATACATGTAGTTAACTTGTACTCTATTTCAATTTGTAAAAATGGTATTGCTTATATCATTGTCTGTCAAAAATTGAAAGAGTAGAAAATAAATTTCATCAAAAGCAAAAAGCGCAATATCAGTTAGATGAATCAAACCAAGTTTCGTTAGATCATCGTTGTCGTATTGGACCATCCTATTTCATTATGAAATGAAGGCAGGTATGAAGAGTACACCTGTCGGTGATAGTGGTACGTTCTTTTATCTCGTCATCTCTTTGTAACAGGAAATTACGGTAGGGCGCATTTCGCTACGAAATTTATTGATATGTATCTTTTAGATGACTCACCGGAATAACTACAACATTTTACATTATTATGTGATCTAGCCAACATAAAAGTTATGGAATGAACTTCACCTTTATATTGGGTAGATCATACATTGATATAATTATAACATTATAACACTCCCGAGATACACGAGTTTTCTTATTTCAAAACGTTACGTGACTTCTTTCTCTCATAATTTTCTAACATATATATTGAAATGGGAAGTTACTTCTTCGTAACAGTTCTTTTGATATGGATAAAGAATGAATGAATTGCTGAATGTTTGGTTTTCTTCTATGTGCACCCACCATCCGCGTAACTAGCATCACATTATTCTTAACGCTTTGGAAACAGCATTTACTGAAGAGTACGGGATATTGTCACTTTTTCGACTTCCACCTTCAAATACTGTTTTTCTCCTTAGCAGAAGTTGTTGTTCACACTGGCCGGAAGCGACGTCCGTGTTCACTATTATAATCATTGTTTTGAGCAACAAGTGTGAAAAACGTTTTGATATTACATGACATCTATTTTGGTTCACATAAGTATGCCTATATTCCATTAGATTATCAGTGATTGTATTGAGTCTCCTGATTATATTTTTTATCCCCTTCCCGCTTTTTGTCAACTGATTTGTGGGAGAGGAGGGTACATATCAAGTTATTTCAAGTCAGGGATGTTACTCACCCAGTCTGCCAACCGCAGGAATGGGCGTACTCTCTACCTCTCTCGACTATTGTCATCTTGCAGAAGCTGTTTCTGTTATTCCTCCATTTTGATCACTCCGATGATAGGTGTGGGTCGATGGAAGTATCACTATTGTTTTGCTAAGGTCACCCCTTCCCCCGCTCGTTCGAGGATATGGGGCATGACTTTCCTCATTCTTCTCGTTTTAATCTTTGTGTTGTTATCCCACTCGGCACTGTCTTAGATGTTCTCCATAAATGTAGTCGTCGGCATCTGTTCTGTTTCCCTTTGTTCCAATTTCAGTTATGTTAGATCTAATTTTAGAAGGAAAAAGAAAGTGAGAGGCGAGATTATTATTCTCAATATATCGGTTTCACTTCTCCAACTGATGAATGAGAACGTCTATCGAAAAGACGACAATGTGCGGCTAGCAACTTCTATTCTTGTAAGTCACTCGTTCTTGTATTGTTTCACGTCTTGCTTAACTTTTCATTTCATATCAAACACAGAGAAATTACATTACTAATTCCGACCATATTGGACTATAAAATGGAAATTCCTAACCAAATGTTGGAGTGAAATATTTGGTGAGGGAGGATGTACTAATAAAAAAAACCTGACATTAGCAGTACACTGACCATATATTCCGGGGAACTCGTGTAGAGTTTAGAGTGTGTTATCATATATTAGCATGCAAGTATATAGATGTTGCTGGGACATTGTTATTGAAAAAGACAATACATGATCATTCATGACATCCAATCCACGGTTTTGACATTGCTAATTATAGTGGTATATTCTTCAGAACGGGGGAAGCACGAATGGAAAGCAGATCAGTGTAGTAGGAGGCATTGTAGACAAGCGGAATGTGGCCAACAATGAACAACCGAAGCCCTGGTATCATGGGAATATCACACGTGAACATACTGAAAAGTTAGCTGTTTCCTGGAGAGATTAGCAGTGCGCTTAAAGATTGTTGAAAAAATTCTTAATAATTTGTCTAGAGGAAATTTTTTTAGATTAAAATAAAAGCTCCTTTCTTGACCTATTTGAAATATGCTCGTCTTCTTTCCATATACCTGTAACATCTTTTTCTAGAATATTATCCGGACAGGCCGATGGAACATTTCTTGTGCGCGATTCTACCAATTTTCCGGGTGACTATACATTATGCATGGCTTTCAATGGCAAGGTGGAACATTATAGGTATCTTCTTACATATTAGAATGAAGGGGAAATGTGCGTTTTAGTGGGTATATTCAGGCTATAGACAAATTAAATGCTATTAAAAAAATGACTTTTACTGTAAAAAAGCATTGATAATTGTGACACGGTGATTTGCAGGATCTATCAATTAAATGGGATACTGACATGTGACCACGAAGAAAATTTCGATAATTTGACACAGTTGATAGCGGTGAGCCATCAGATACCTTTTTTTAGAAGATAATGTCAGTTTGTTGATATTCTACTGTTCCCTAATGAGTCACTTTTTTACAAATGCTTTCTTGACTTCTTTCACTTTCACATACTTCCAGCATTACAAACGAGATGCAGATGGCCTATGTCATCGTCTTATAACACCAATAATCAACGATAAATATAGAATTACAAGAGACAACGAATTTTTAGAAGAGCGAATACAGCTCTTTCGTAGAGCCTCATTAATTATCAGTCGAAATGAAATACATTTAGGAGACATTATTGGTCATGGAGAATTTGGAGGTTTGTCTCACAGGCTTCTCTTTTTTGGTATTGTGGCGAACTGCATAGTGCATTATTGCTTCAAAAATAATTCACTGCCAGATTGTGAAAGATTAATCATTTATTGAATTGAGATTACAGTGGCAACATTATTACTTGTTTTATGAGTGATTAACATCCTGATTGGATGCTTCATGACTGTTTAGATTTTTATTATTATTTAGACGTGCTGTTGGGAGACTACGAAAATCACAGAGTAGCAGTGAAGGTTTTGAAGCATAGTGAAATGGTGCAGTCATTATTGGACGAGGCAAAATTTATGATGTATGTTACAAACCTTTCTTTTCGATATTTAAACCGTATTTATTATTATAAATAAAATGTGACATTACGCCGAAATCTATGAATTTATGACTTTTCAGTGGCCTAAAACATGTGAATTTGGTGGCTTTGCTGGGTGTTGTTATTGATGACTCTAGAGAAATGTTCATGGTAACCGAATACATGGCTAATGGAAATCTTGCATGTTACTTAACTTACTTTTACATATATTTTTATTTTCATTTTAGTTTTCTGTCAGCTTTAATTCTAGAGAGCATATACTTCTGATTAGATATGTAAATAAGCTAATTTGTAGGTAGATTTCTTGCGTTCACGTGGGCGTTATCAGGTGGAGAAAATGCAGCTGACTCAGTTCGCGGTTGATATTTGTGAGGGTATGAAATTTTTGGAAATTAAAAATATGGTGCATCGTGATTTGGCTGCGAGAAACGTGTTGCTAGATGATAAGCTTACTGCGAAGATAAGCGACTTCGGACTTGCAAAAGATGCCAATGAGTGCCAGTACGCAGAAAGTGCGCTTAGCAAATTTCCAATCAAGTGGACTGCCCCAGAAGCTCTGCGATATAGTGTTAGTGTTCATTTCTTTCATAACAAAAATGTCTTAATTCATGTATCAGTGGAATCATTTTAGCAATAGTTTCGTTGAGTTGCTTAAGGTGGATTACTGAAAACTGTTCGAAGTAAAACAAAGGTGTAGTATTAGCTGTAAAGTTAGTAAAGGTCTTTTCTTTTTACTTTATCAGTTACCTAAGAAAATTTGGATAATTGGAATGAAAAAGAGGTCTATAATTCAGAACATAACCAGTTAAATACCTACCAATAGGAACTTCATCAAGAAAGTTCATTCCAGAAGTTTTCAACGAAAAGCGATGTATGGTCTTTTGGTGTGCTGCTGTGGGAGATTTTTTCATACGGAAGAGTACCGTATCCTCGCATCGTAAGTCGTGAATTGTATTGCTAATTTTATTTTGATTAAAAGCAAGTCGATTAATCAGTTAATGTGCTACTAATTGACGATTGTGAGTTTTCAAATAATCCCTAAATAAATATTGACAATTGAAAGTCGTCGGCATTGCAACATTTATCGCACAAAAATAAGGTTATATAAACCATTCATGAACTTTGTGATTCTGTCATTACTTCTTTAACCACTTTTTAAAAAAATGTGGAAATAAAGCTGAATGTGCTCTCATGTACTTTATTAGCTAAGCGAAGAAGTAAGAGAGAGAAGTAGGAAAAAATCAAAAAACTAATAAGTTATTCATCGAATGAAACGGACTCAACACTCAACTGCCATAAACTTTCTTCCAGCCAATCCAAGATGTTGTGCGACATATCGAGAAAGGATATAGAATGGAGCCACCGGAAGGATGCCCGATGGAAATATCACGTTTAATGAATGATGCTTGGATATTGGAGCCATCCAATCGTCCCTCTTTCACTGCTATATTGCAAAGGCTTAAATTCGTTTATGCAAATACCGTCTTCGTTCTTCACTCATGAATTTAGTAGTCGAATATTAAAGTTTCGAAAATAATTTCGTAGTTCTATTAATTGGTTTTAACTCATTGGAATATCAGATTTCTTCCTTGAGATTTTCTTAATAGCTTATGAAATATTGTGCCTTTGTAAACAAATTTTCAAAAATGCAAATTATGGAAGAAACATTGTTGCTTTATTCACTCAGTTCAAAATATACACTAAACTTTGATTTCTTCATCTGTTGCTGCTTTTAGACTGTGGGGTGGATTATTTTGATTGATACTGCAAATTAATGAGACGATTTCCTATTTTTATTTAAATGAAGCGAGAATAGGATGATGAAAATTTGAAGTAGAAATTTCTGTGCAGCAGCAGATAGAAATATCATTTATTTATTCTATCTTGCTTTTGTTTGTACGTAATTTCGAGTTACCGATGGATTGTTATCACCGATTTGTCTATTAATATTTAAATGTAGCCAATATAGTATCTCAGCTTTATTCGAGGGCGAGGCCAAGGAACATATTAGTTTTTTTAGGGACTATGAAAAACATTCCACTGACTTCCAAAGACATTCCAAGTCTCTCAAAAACTTGTCGGAATGTCTTTCATAGATCCACGCAGAAATGAGATTTGAATTTTTTTAGAGCATCCTAGGAATAAATGGAACAAGATCTCAGTACTTCAACTCAATTGATCGATGACTGGTTGCATCGATACGTTGGGTTGGAATTTCATGTTGCTTACTGTTGCTATTTCATAGCTGGTAGTGCGCGTCATAGTTATGAATTGTTGCAAAGCTTTTTCAAGTGCACTTTTTTTAATTGATGTTCATCGCAATAATCAAAAGTTAGGACTGTGCTCACTTATGACTATAGACAGATTGTCATAAGAAATATTGAAAGATCTATTCTCTTATATGAAAATATAAATCTGTTTTCTTATATGCAAGTGTGAATTAAGTTGTAGAGGTCAATCCTACGATGAGTTTTCTTCACGCGTTTGGTAATCAGTAGGATTATTACGTGGATAGCTTGCTTACCTTAGTAATTATAGCGAGAAAAATACTGGAAGAAATATGATATATTTGGCTGTTGTGGTCAATTGAAGAAGATAGGAGTAGAAGTTGTCCTGTGTATAAAGTCAGTGAAATCGAGTATTTTCATTTGTTAAGTGATATTTATATAATCTCTGTGGAGATCATTTTTCTTTTTTCTAGAAAATATTCCTGCCGAGATATTGTTATTATGCGTTATGTATTCCTGTTGCCTGTTGCTTATTAATGCGATGTTAAATTTCAGTAAATTTGTACATAATGATTTAATGTGAAGCAAATAGGCACTGCACGTATATGGCGTATTCTCACATAGATTATTGTCAATTATATGTTTACATATATTTGGTAAAGAAGTGAGGTCTTTAGTGTGGATGATGAATCTAATAAATATAATATGCTTATTTAGAGCCTCAAATGGCAGTTTATGAATGGGACGCCAAGGACCACAAGCAGCATGATACTACATCCGTCTGACGAACAACAACATCGCGATAGTTTTCGTTCATATGTGGCGGCATACGACAGTGATATAGCGGTTCGTTATTTCATTTATGAGTACGAATTATCTTGTTTTTATTGCCTTATCGCACGGAAACTCCAGGAATTTATAAAAGAAGAGGCATTAAGGGCAAATTCTGCACGAAATATCATATTTCCTTTAAATTGTCTTTTCGACAACTTACAGTGCATAGCAATTATCAAAGATGGAATTTCAGGTTAAAGATATTAACGAAGCGCCGAATTTCATTCTTTTACACAGTAAGTATCAATTCATATATTGCATGCGATCTACTATTTAGTAATTATTTCAAGGTATACCTTATGAGTTTTCAGGAGAAATAGTGTCATCACAGTGCGATGATGTGTTACTCTACCCGCCCTTTCAAGATAATTATTTCGGGAAACTTTACTGCACCAATTTTCGCATATGCTTTGTGCCAATTGCTCAAAAGGTTACCTATAGTTCGTATTCCTCTACAACGTGTTGTTTATGCTCCATTATTCATATTATTATTATTGCTGTTATTATTATTTATTATTTACTATTAATTATTATTAATGTTTATTATTTATTATTATTATTATTAATGCCACTACTTATTGTTATTATTAATGTTATTATTTATAATTTTTACACATTATTATTATATACTTAACATTTTGCATTGCAACTTTTCCATTACCGTTCAACTTGTTTTCAGCAACCAGATCCATGCTGTAGTCGGAGCGTCATATTTACAGATGAACATCAGATACCTCTGTGCTCCATTGCTTCCATATATTACTCTCCGTCACCCATCGGTTCGTCTTCTATGTTTCATTTCAGCCTATTATTACCGGTATTATTTTTTCACTACACAATCAATTTAATTACGAATATAGCATTTTGATTTGAAAATACTATGAAGTTTAACACTCTGATGTCAGATGAGTTCGGTTTTATCCCACTCTATGACACTCACTGTTCGCAAAGGCGTTGTAACGACTCCTAATTTTTATTTTAAACATTATGAGGAATAAATCAAAATTGCAGTTGGTCGTTCGAGCGCTTCCCCGAAGAAATATCGATTGATGACAGCTCCTGCCTCACAGCTTGATATTATTTCGTCCATCAAAATATACACCAAAGTAAACTTCTTTATTAATTCAGGAATTCAGATCACTTTTAAGAAGAAATCATGTTCTTTCTTTTTTTCGAGTTTACAATTTTTTCGAAGTTTTTACTTTTAACTGAAGGAGATATCGTTCAGGACTTTCGAGTGTGGACCTTCGATCTACAGCGAAGCCAATTTGCTGTAAATCTTGCAAATAATATTTATCATTTCTCACGTCCCTCTTCACTTTCCAATTTGCTACAACTTTCTTGCGAAGGATTTCAAGAAGCACTTCAGCCAGGTACAATTTAAATGTTTAAGTGAAAATTGCTTCATTTTAAAACGTATTATATGTTCTTATTAATCCTTCTTTCAAAACGGATGACGGTAGTGTAACATTGTTATGCTTATCAGCTAAGAAAAGCTAGTTCTACTGCATAACAGCCGAAAGATTCAAGCGGAACGATTATCATGAGCTTATTTTAAAAGATCACCGTACAACTGTATTTGCTTTTCATGGGAAAAGCATAGCTTTGCAGTGAGAATATAATTCTGCTGAAATGCAATACGCAGAAGAATGAGCATTAATCGGTTGACCTTTTTTTCACATGATTTTTACCGGATAAAAAAAAATTTATTAAAAAATACGTGGAATGAATTAAATTTCATTAGGAATGAAATTTAATTCATTCCACATATTTTTCAATAAATCTTATCAGAATTGCCGCAAATTAACTATATTATTATTGCTATATAAATCATTCCTAAACGGGAAGTTTTACAGCACACAACACACTTCTGTATAACAATGGGAGTGATTGGAAAAAAGAGTTGCTACGATGTGGGGATAATGAAACACGATGGCGTATATGTTTTTTGAAATCAGAGATATCCCAACAGAAGGCAGTTGTGCCCAGGTTGATATGTTTCTACCTTCTCCAAGATCATGACTGTGGAATTTTTTCACAGCGTTTTCTTGATTCTGACTTCATGAATCTTTTTGCTACATTTTCCCTTTAAAATTTTAACCTGGCATTTGCTGTTACAGTTATCCATTTTGTGTTGTTGTCCCGAGTGATCTCTTTGACGTTACGGTGTATGAAAGTCTTATACCCAACTGGCAAAATGGTAGATTTCCGGTAAGTTGATTTACAAAAGTAAAAAGATGAAGTTAAGGTCGATATTTTTTGGAACTTTCTTTGTCTGCAACATCTTGTTCAGATCTGGTGCTGGTCAGCTTCAAATGGTAGTGCATTACTACGTTCGTCTGCTTGTAACAAGGATCTTAATGCTCAAGAACTGTGGAAAAAGTATATTTTGTATGTTCAACTAGACCACTTAATTGATGGAAATTTTCTGCTGATACCTTAACAATGTGGCAAACAAATGAAATTGCAGAGTATTATGGCCTATCTGCCAGGCTCATCCTCATCGTCGACCACCTCAAGTAATTTATTGTGACATATCCGATGTGCGCATATCATCTTCATTCGAGAAACTTCGCGAACTTTGTTCTTTAGGTGTTTATTATTTTATCTCATAGATACGATGTTAAATCATAGAAATTGAGTTTGAAGAGTTCCATGGTTATAAACATTAGAATAGAGTTATATAAAAAGACTGCCTTTAGCTTTTGATAGGATTATTCTTGTAGAATATAACGAAAAATGGGGATTGAAAGCGAGCTAGACATATTCATTCTTTTTGTCTTATACATATTTCAGATTCAATGGAACGTTTCATTGAAAAAGAAAAAGAATGGTACACGTTGGTTGACGATACAGGCTGGTGTGCTTTAGTATTTCGATGCCTTCAATTATCAAATAAAGTTATTCACCGACTTATAGATAATCAGCGATCCGTTGTTGTGACAGGTTTGTCTCTTCAATCGTAATACTCTGTTTATTGTTCCTTGTCAAATGACATTGAGGTTGCATATGAAACATTTATAAATACGAAAGAGCACAGGATTTCAGTAAACCAATCCATGCACATGTTCATATTATAATCGTTTGGTTAAATTCCAATCAGTGATTATTTTCTGAAATTTTTTTGGAACAGTATTTGGAAGAAATATAAATACATTTTGGCTGTGAAGGCAAAAGTAATTTCAGACCGAGATGGATTCAACGCATCGGCAGTAGTGTCTTCATTGGTTCAGGTGTGTACGGATAGTTTCTATAGAACGATAACTGGTTTCAGTGCTCTCATAGAGAAGGAATGGATTGCACTTGGACATCCCTTTGGGCTCAATATATTTGGCTGCACTCTTCTATCCAATATCCCGGTTCGAATCTTTCTTTACAGGGCCCTTATTATTCATATGTTTTCCAGCGCAATATAGTACTTTCTATTTCAGGTGTTTCTGT